TATTATTATTATTATTATTATTATTATTATTATTATTATTATTATTATTATTATTATTATTAACACGCTCTGATGCTAAGGAGTTCTACTCCCCCTCCCCACCTGAAAAGAAATCTCTTCCAAATGCAAAACACAAGCAGAGGAGAGGAGAGTTCAATTTCAGTTTCACAGCACCAAGCAGCTTTAGTACAGAACAGTTGAGCTAAGCCACACCCAGGCTCCTTGCTGTCTCCTTCTTGCTCACACAACAAATACTGCTTCAGTTTCCAAACAGCCCTCAACTCTCTCACAGACAGGACACTAGCCAGATGAATACCGATGGATGCTGGTAGGTAGAGACAGATTCCCACCCCCCCTTATTTTCCACCCCAAAAACTAAGTCCGATCACAGTTTCATACCGAAGCACGGGTATCCAACCAGTTATTCTATTTTAGCAAATGGAGAATGAACTACCGTAGCAGGGGCAATTTTGGGAGGAGAATGAGCCAAAGGCCACACAGGAGCATGAAGCAGCAGAAGGATCGGTTAGATCCACTCCGAAGAGATTCAGACAGGTCGTTTTTGCAAGTGCCAGAGATGAGGGCTGGAATTAACAGAACAACAAGGTTGGGAAAGGGACCTTGGAGGTCCTTTAATCCAGGGATCACCAACCGTTTGAACTTCAGTTACCACCAAACTCATAATTTTAAATCCCGCGGACCAGAGACCCTGAGAAAATCCCCCCAAAAGTCCCCACCCTGTTTTCCTACCGATCAATTCTCAGGGGGGGAGAGAGAGAGAGAGAGGGACAGAGAGAGACAGAGACAGAGAGAAACAGAGAGAAAGAGAGAGACAGAGAGAGAGAGACTTTTGGCTTCATGCAAGGAAAGCAGCAGAAGCACCAAAAGTCTTTCTTTCTCTCCCCCAAACTCCGCCAGAAATGAGTCTTTGTGAGACTTGTCACGCCGGCGCAGCCTCTTGGACCAGGAGGCCTTGCAGGGTCCCAAAGACTCATTTCTGGCGGAGTTTGGGGGAGAGAAAGAAAGACTTTTACTACTTTCCTTGTATGCAGCCAAAAGCAGAAGAAAAAAGCAGTCTGGTGGCCAGGTAAGGTTCGTGGGATGAGTGTGGCAAGTTCCTCCCTCCGCCCTGTCCCCTCACTACCTTCCGTTGTTCACAATGCAAGCAACGCAAGCCTTGTGTTCCCGCACAGCCTGGATTAATTACTTTGGGGGTGACATTTCTCTGCGGACCACCAAAATTTTCTCGCAGACCACCAGTAGTCCCCGGCCCACTGGTTGGAGACCACTGCTCTAGTCCAGCGGTCCCACAACCGGGCTGCAGCCTGTTCGAAACTGGGCTGCGGGAAAAATGAGCAAGTGCGTGCGCGAAACTCTGGAGTGGAGCTTCACGCACGAACACAAAGCGCCTCCCGCTCGCACAAGCACTCACCACTCAGACACGAAGCTCCATTTTGCGTGAGTGGAGCTTCATGCGCACTGTGCATCGCTCACCCAAATGAAGCTGTTCGCAGGTGCATGCACCTGCCACTCACACGCCCGCCCTCTGCGCCGGGCCACCAAGTTGGAAAGGTTGGGGACCCCTAGTTTAAACCATGGTTACCCATTTTCCGCGACCGGAAAGATTTTGCAGAAATTGGAGGATGTGTGTCTGGAGTCGAGTTTTTCCAAAATCCGTTTTGGAAAAAAAAAAGACCCCCACAGGGTAGCTAAAAAAAAACTAAAAAAAAAAAAACATTTGCTGACAAAACTAGAGTTCCTTCAGGCTTTTGAAAATTTCAAACTGGGGGTTGTGCGTTTGGCACGTGGCTGGCTGAGCTGAAAGGTTGGATTTGCACTAACAATCGCACAGGTCCTTTATAACCAAATCCCCACTCTGACAAACAGCTGACAGACGCACAACTAATTTACTAGGAAGAAGCGTCTAGATTGTAGGCGTCTGAGGTTTTTAAACTTCTATTTGCTGAAAAGGCAGTATGTTCCTTTTATGCGATGTCCAGCTGAAAGAAGGGAGGCCAGGGGCCGAGGCCACACTCATTTCTGGCGGAGTTTGGGGGGAGAGAAAGAAAGACTTCTGCAGCTTCTGCTGCTTTCCTTGCATGAAGCCAAAAGTCTCTCTTTCTCTCTCTCCCTCTCCCCCTGAGAACGGAGCTGGAGACGGTAACCTGCGATCCCAAATAAAGAATGATCGATTGGTAAGAAAACGGGGTTGGGAATTTTTCTGCAGGCTTTTTGGGGGATTTTCCCAGGGTCTCTGGTCTGCGGGATTTAAAAGAATGAATTTGGTGGTCCCTGAGGTCCAAAAGGTTGGCAACCCCTGGTATAGTGCAACTTTCATGCAATATCAGGGGTTTTCATTTCAATGTATAGAATATGAATGCGTTTGTGTTTATTTTCATAGTCATAATGCACACTGAAGATGGTATTTAATTTCGTTGTATGAGGTGCAATGACAATAAACTAAACTAAACTAAACAGAAGAGGTAAACGGGTGACCTGCCCTGGAATGGATTTGCTGCACATTTAAAGATCTGGCCAAGCTTTTCAGGCCAAACGATCCGACTGCCCCCTTGTGTTTCAAGAAAACAACAACAACCCATGTGTTCTACAATCACAGATCCAGGTTTTGTAACTTTTTATGTGGCTAATACTGTCAGGCCTGCCAAGTTCGGGTTGGTGCCTCACAGGCACTCTGCCATCAAAATCGAGAAGCGAGAGGGAGCATAGATAGGCAACAAAGATTTTTGTGTATGTGAATGGGAAATAAGGAGAGGGGAATGACAGGTGAGGAAGACCAGAGAAGCTTGGGACCAATTTGTACCAGCATCCAAGGCCAGGACTCCTGAGAAAGACACTGGATTACTCCCAAATTTAAATTTCTGGATGTTACCATAAAAGAGGACCTGACCTGAGGTGCCCACATTGAAGCCCTGGTCAAAAGGGCCTAAGAGAGATTATACTACCTGAGGCTTCTCAGGAAACAACTGAATGAAAAACTGCTGGGGACCTTCTACCGCTGCACCATAGAGGGTATCTTAACTTACTGTGTGAGGTTTGCCAATTGCACAGTGGCAGATAGGAAAGCGCTCCAGAGGGATCATGGGTTGTCCTCTCCCCTCTTTGGAAGAGCTTTAGAGCTCCCGCTGCCTTAAGAAAGTTCAGAACATCCTCAAAGATCCATCTCATCCTGGGAACCCTTTTTTTTTGAACTATTACCACCTGGCAGACGGTACAGGATAATAAAAACAAGGACAAACAGGCTGAAAAACAGCTTCTATCTCCCAGGGCAGTAACTCTTTTGAATTCTACCGCATAGTGCAATATTAATACAATATCAAGGGTTTTCAATTCAATGTATCCAATGTGAAGGATGTGTGTTTATGTTTTATTTTCATGGTCATGATGTGCACTGAAGATGGTATTTAATTTCGTTGTACAAGATGCAATGACAATAAACTAAATTAAACATATCAGCATTCTCAAAACACTTTGGTGAGTTCCGACTGGCTGAAGATGGTCACGAGGGGAGGGCTGGGATGAGTTCTGTATCTTTTGAGCGAGGGAAACCGAGAGCTTGCCAAGCTTTACTGCCACCAACATCTCTTAGTAAAAGAACTTTTTGCTTCAACCAAGTGGAGTCAAGGGTCTTTCTTTCCTCAGCGGGGCAGGTCTGACAAACACGGTTTTACTATGAAACACAGAACGCTGCTCTAAAAACCTTGCAGACCCCATTGAAGTATTTAAGGTTATCAACAATTTTCCTGCAAATCATCCAAGACCATGAGAGCACACACACAAATCTGTGGTTTCCCCCCCACCCACTTTTCATTAGAAGAACAACAACAAACGGAGTGAGGGAATAAGTCTCTAAAACTGAACAGGCCTTGCCTCTCATTATCGTCCCATGAGCCATAATTTCTTGAATCAATGGTGTAAGAAAGAGAGCAGACTTTAATACAGAGAGCACTTGCGTATCTACCGTTTTATAAGACAAGAGAGATGGCTTTAAAGGAAGCTTTCAGCAGCTGTGAGATAAACACCAACTTAATCCCGAAAGAGAGGAAGAAGCGAGGAAGAAACTCAACTTTGATTTTCTTTAGTATAAGGAGGAAAAGGGAAGACTTCTGTCAAGCTTTCAAAATTCTGTAATTATACTCTGCCATAATAGAATTCCAGTAGATCTCATGGTGTCTATTTCCTGATTTGGCTTATCCTAAAGAACTGACATATTCGGGACTTTTTTTTTCTTCTTGTTACTTTACACGTATCCAAAATGGGGTTTTCCACCTGCTTTTCAAGCTCTCATTTTTGGAGATTTTCATATCTGTAGTTTGAGGCTGGAATGGATCCCACATTTTAAAACCCAACAATACTTACCTCCCCTGTGCTTGGATTGGTTCCATACTTCTTTATCCACGGAACAATATTCCTAAAACAAAACAGATGCAGAGTCAGAAAAGGACATTGGTTTCTACATTGAAGTACATTTTGGGTAAAAGAAAACAACAACAAAAAATAAAACTCAAAGGGCAAAATTGAGGGACCACTAGGTGTTGGTTTTTTTTTTCTGGACAGTTTTCTACCTTTCTGTTCTATCCACACACTTCAATCTCTGTGAAATTTCCAGATTTTGTTTCAGTATGGATTTCGTATGACGGATTTTTTGTTACCGTCTTGGTCAGTAGCACGCCATATTTCAGTTTTTATTTCCACTTTTTTATCCACATATATAATCAGGCCAAATGCTCACTTAAAGGGTTCCAATCCTAATACAGGTAGTCCTTGACTTACACAACAGTTCGTTTAGCGACACTCAACGTTACAACGGCACTGAAAAAAGTGACTTATGACCGTTTTTCACACTTACAACCGTTGCAGAATCCCCATGGTCAAGTCATCCAAATTTGGATGCTTAACAACTGACTCGTATTTATGACGGTTGCAGTGTCCTGAGGTCATGTGATCCCCTTTTTGTGACCTTCTTATAAGCAAAGTCAATGGGGAAGCCAGATTCACTTAACAATTGTGGCAAGAAAAGTCATAAAATGGAGCAAAATTCACTTAGCAACAGAAACGTTGGGCTCAATTTCTTGCCCTGTTTAACTGGGCCACAGCATCCCAGAGAGATACTGGGAAGAAACTGCCAGCAGAGGCTGCCATTAGTGTATCCAAACTAGCCCATCAAACAACTTATGTAGAGAGAACGAGATTCTAATAAAGGAGAATATGGGTGGCTGAGGATTGACATGAGGGGCCCTTGGTGCTTTCGGAGGTTCCATGACCCAAACTAGGTGACATCATCAGTGCTAGTAAGGAGTGCAGTTTGGTATCAGTTTATATTCTAATGGCTTGCCTATCAGTGTGACAAGGGGCAGGGAATGCACTCCTTACTAGCACTGATGATGTTACTGATGATGTCTGCAAGAAATTAGGAAGCTCAGAGATGGATTGGATTGGATTAGATTAGGTAGACAGGTAGGTAGGTGGATAGGTAGATA